AGACGCCACGTGGGTTTAATGAAAGCATGCCCGCCGAACAATGACGTCACCCGCGCCACGTAAGTATAAAAGGGTCACATATGGAGAGAATCCGAAAGAGATATGATTCTCTAATAATGCTCATTTAATAGTCAAACAAAAGGAAAGATCTCTTTTCCTAACATAAAAGATTTTCTTTCCTAACAGAAAAGAACTCCTTTCTTTGTAGCCTTGACTTTCTCTCTATAAAAGGGGAGAGCAATTCTTCCCCAAGGGAGACAACATAATACAAATTTGACCTAGGATTTCTGAGAAAGAGGCAACTCCCTTCTCTCCTTTATTCTTCTCTCTTCCCCAATCCACCGCCACCTCCGAACCTTTGGAGATAGACCACTCCCACGTTGTCAAACCACCCCTACCTATAGGGAGACCTCAGCTCAACACCTCACCTGCTAGGGAAACCTCAGCTCGACACTTCAACAACCGAGGGAGACCTCGGTTTGGCACCTTGACAATTGAGGGAGACCTCGATTGCTTGAGAAACCTGCAATCAAAGGTACCCAAACTCGAACTTTCGAGCTTTTAACTCGAGATGAGCTCAAACTCGAGTTTAAGTCTCTAAATCGAATTGAGCTTGAGCTTGATAGTTTATGAGCAAGTCCATACAACATAGGGCCCCCTCCGTTAGTTAAACTATTAGTAAAATAGTATTAAAATAATAGTAATACCATAATAAAATACTAAAAAATTAATAATAACAAATAAAGATTAATTATTAAATATAATTTTAATAATGTATAAATAAAATATTAATACGATACAATTAAAGTTATAATAAAATATTATTAAAATTCTAATAAAATAATAAAGCAAAGATGTTATTCATTAAATCTATTATCTATAATAAAACAAGACATGCCATGAAGCATAGCTCTCCTTTCTCTCTTACCATTTATCTAATTTTGTGATTTTTCTAAATTTTTATTTTTAAACTAAACAAAATTAGTCAAGTAGCTAATCTCTCTACTCCTTTGATTATCTATTCTCATTAGTCATTCCATTAACTCTCTCTTCCAATAACGCACTTCATTAATTCTCTCTCCTCTCATTCACTTATAAAAATTTGCTTAAAAATCATTTTACACTTTTCCTTTTATTTATTTTATTCTCTCTTCTCTCCTCATTAATCTAATAAACAAGAAGTAATTTGCTTAGAGGTGATCATTTCAATTTAGGCCCACAAATTTCAAGGCCAGTGTGGGCCCAACCCAACCCATAAACAAAAGAATAGTTCAAAATGTTGTTAATCAAAATATAATAAGTAGTTAAATCACCTAAAAATATCAATCCCGCACAGGCCCAAGTCTACATTCGGCCCACAAATTTCAAGGCAAATGTGGGCCCAACCCAACCCATAAACAAAAGAATAGTTTAAAATTTTGTTAATAAAAATATCATAAGTAGTTAAATCACCTAAAAATAATATGAGAGAGAGAGAGAATTTTAAGACATAGGTTTCACTCCTTCCATGATTAACCTATTTTAGCATATTTCTATAGGCCTCTTCCATTATTAGCCTATTGTGTTTCAAAGAGAGAGTTTTACTTTCATCCAAATTCTATTTATTTATTTCATATTTAAATTATATTTAATTAGATAATCATTAGAAATATATAATTTGAATTTTAATAACTAAAATTAATAAAGTCAATAAAAATATTAAAATTTAGTAAGTTTTTATCTAACAATAATTAAAAATTTAGAAATTAATATATATTAGTATGTCATAAATTAAAATTTAAAATGCATTTGAATTCTATTTAAAATCATTATTATTAATAGGATAAATAAAATTAATAATAAAAAATAAACATTATTAAAAATAACAGAATACACCATTTGCATTCCATATAAAATTATAAAAATTAATTAAAATAATAAAACTAACAATGGTCCAATTAGAAATGTCATTGTACTCATTGTACTTACGATGATCATTTTGTAACTTAGTTTGAGTTAGATAGACCTATAGGGATGATAGTTTCCATATCCCTATCAAGCACTTGGCTTCGCTAACTCAATGAGGTTGAGGATGTCTTGGAAATGATGGAGACGGGGATAGGGATTGATAGTGATACCTGATTGAGGAAATGACGGGGATGGGGTGTGAATTCCTTGCCCCCCTGCCTTAATTATATATATTAAACATATACACATATAATAGTATTTATATTGTATATATTAAACATATTTAAAATATTTTTACATTTAAAAAAAAATTCCTTATTTTAAGTAATTTTATCTTCTAAAAATACTTTTTAATAAAAAAATTTTAGGGACTTAGGTCCCTTACAGGGGATAGGTTCTCCATTGGAGATTGGGGATGAAGGGTCATTCTTATCCCTAGTAGGGATCGAGGTCAAGATAGAAATTTGTTTCAAAGTTGAGGTTGAGGACAAAGAGTATGGTCCCTATCCCAACCCTGCTCCATTGCCATTCCTATAGACCTAAAAATTTATAGGTTCAAGCAATTAGTTTCTTCCGAGGTAGGTGTATCTCAGATATTAGGGGTGCTTACGGTTTAATTAACCAAACCATAGGCATTTTTTGGTCAAATTGGTATTATTGGCTAACCGATTTACCGGTTTTGGTTTTTTATTGGTCTGACTCTTCAGTTTTTTATATTTATAATATATATTATATAAATATATGTATAATATTATATTATAAATAATAAATGATATATAATATATTATAAATATGTATATTATATTATAAATACTATAAATATAATATATGTATATATTTATACATATAGTGCACATATATTTATAATTAATATATAGATAATATGTGACATATATTAAAAATATATAATAGACATATAAACATATGTATCAATTGGTTTGATTAATCCCCGATTTTTTCTAGATTAATTGAAAACCAAACCAATCCTTCAGTTTTTTAAAAATACCGAACCAATTGGCTCGATTAACCACATTTTTCAATTAAGTTATCTCGATTCAGTTCGGTTTTCCGATTTTTTATGAGCACCCTTATTAGATATGCACCAAGTCCACACATAATGTGGACAGTAAAGCTATAAGCAGATCAAATTCATATCGGATGTAGTTGCACCTGCATCCACATTCAATTATGAAATCTCTGTATTCCGATCTATCTTCCACATCCATATTCAATTATCTAATTCTTATCGGATCTGGTTGCCTTGGCAAAGTTCCATCCCGGTCGGTATTCCGGAGATTTCACAGAGCTCCTCTGGACTCCACAAAACCTCCACAGATCCAGTCCTCCATTTATGCGGTCGGAAACATCAAGTGTTGAGCAAATACACAACCTAAAGTCTGCTACCGTATCAATTGTCTTGAACCCACAAAATGAGAGGCAACTCATTTCAGTGCCTCAGTTGCCACCTTTGTTGCCAACTCCAACACGGCCATAGTTGCCTCTACTACCAGAGCCTCCGATCTTTTCACCTTCATACCCCACCATGCCACTCAATGTGTCGAACTTTAGATTTTTAATAATATATTTTCGAAGCCAAGAACGGGAAAACCATGAACTGTGACATGTTTGAATGTCCCAGAAAATCCGCAAGATTCAAATGCGAGCAAATATGAAAGTGGTTGAAATTTGGATAGAGGTCATAGTCTAAGCTTCATTAAGCCTAAAGCTAAAGGGCATTTTTGATCATAAAGGATATTTTTGGAATTTAAAAAAATATCAGTTATACATGTAAATAGCGTGCAATGGAAAGCTAAAGGCAAGGGAGGTTTTAGGCAATTATAAAAAACTTGGGGTGCTTTAAGACAATATGTAAACAATAAGGATAAAATTAATTAATTTCCTAAACCAGAGAGGTAAAGAAACTTGCCCTAATAATAAAATAGTAATAATTAAATAATAAAGTATTATGAAAATAATAATAATAATAAAATAAGAGTATGTTAATAATGAAAATAATACCAAAATATTTCTAAAATAATATTACTATAATAAAATATTAATAAATTAATAATAAAAAGCAAAGATATTATTTATCTAATAATAATTAAGTAAAAATAAAAAATTAATATATTATAATCAAAGTAATAATAAAATACTAATATATTGTTTATTAAATAATAATAAATTAATATTAAAATATAAAAATAATAGAATAGTACTAATCTAATAAGAAAATAATAACAAAATAATACTATAATAATATAGTATTAATAAAATATAATAATAAAAATGTTATTAAAGTAATAATAATATAATGATATATAATAAAATTTTCATAAATTATTGATAAACACTAACAAAAAGCAAATATTTTATTCATTAAATAATAATAATAATAATAAATATTAATATAATAATAATATTATATTAATATTAATAAAATATTTTATTATATTTACAACAACAACAACAACAAATAGGTAGAAATAAAATATTAATAAAATATGATTAAAGTAATAATAAAATATTAATTATTCAATAATAATAAACTAATATTAAAACAATAAACAAAAAATAGTAGAAGTAATAAATTAATATGAAAATAATAAAAATAAAAATAAAAATAAAAATAAAAATAAAAATAAAAATAAAAATAAAAATAAAAATTATTAATAAAATATAGTAATAAAATGTTATTAATGTAATGATAAAATAATAAAATATTAATATTCATAAATTAATGATAAATCTAAGATATTAATGATAAAATATTAATAAAGTAATATTAATTTAATTAATAATAAAGTATTAATAAAATAATAGTTATATATTTATAAAATATTAATAAAATAATAATAAAATAACAAATAGACTAATACAAAATTGAAAAATTTCGTATTTTTCAATGAACCAAACAGCAACAATCCGAATCCAATTCAGATTCCGGACTGAACCAAACAGTTTCAATTCCGATTCCGGTCGTGTCCGCGAACCAAACGAACCCTTAGGAATACTTTAAACATTTACCCTTGCTTGAATTCAACTAAGGAAATCACACGCTTCCTCTAAGGGGGAAGGAGATGGATCTCGGTTCTGAAGCTCGGAAGTATGTATGGGATGGAGCAATTCCCCTACAGATCCATCTCCACGAATCTGAGGTTACCACGCTTCCCTTTCCTCCACCTGCACTGGTAACCAGATTTCTAACTATTTAGTATCGTTCCGCACCATTCTTTACATTCTCTCATGTCGTTGTTCTCTCTCTCTCCTCTCTCTGTTTTTAATGTTTCATTCAAACTTACAGCTACACACTGATTCTATCATATATTGTACTAGCTTGTGGATTTTGATTGCTTCGGCATCTTATTTTCCTGATGGACTTTGTTTTCTGTTTCGTCCTAGTTTTGGGTAAATTTCCCAATATTTTAGTTAATAGATTTATCTCGGTTTCCATGTTGTGTGGGTTATTAAGTGCTTGTTACATACTCTCGGTTAAGGTATTCTTGTTCTTCCTCCAAATCTTTATTGTTGTCTTGGTTATGTAAGGTTTTCCTTCTTAATAGTTTTGATATAATGTGCCGTGAAGTTTATTCAAGAGAATTTTTGTTGTAAATGCTTGAGTGTAATGCAATAGCTGTTAGAATGCCCTTATTTTTCTGAGCATTAGCTTACAGTTCCTCCTTAAAACACTATGAGGTACCAGATTTTAATACAGGGTTACTTAGGTGCAAGAAAGTTAAAAGGAGGGAGGCTATAGTTGTGGAGCATTTACTAAATGAGTAAAGCACACCCTTTGATATATTCATGAATAAAAGAGTTTTTAGCTTGTATATTTTTGCTCCTAAGGCTGCATTTGGATGCGATGTAAATCAAGAACCGACGAAAATTTTACATCGGTTCGGTTTTGTTCGCGTTTGGAAAGAGGGTGTAATTATTATCGACGTAAAACTACACTCCGGTTCAGTTTTGCGTGCATTTGGATGGAGTGTAGTTTTACGTTAATCATCGATGTAAAACCTCATCAGCTCTAAAGTTTTACATCAACTCTTCCACCCATCACTATTTCCAAAAAAGCAACGGTCACTTTCTGGTTCAGTGTAAAACGTCATCAGTGTATTCTAAACGCAGCCTAAATGAGTTTGACTTCCTCATTGAGGTCGCTTTTAAATCCTACTGTCTTCAAAAACTTTAGATATTTTCTTCCCTTTAAGTACCCCATTATGCACAACATGGTATATTGAATTTCAATTCCTGACACTAAAAGCTTATATAGATGAGTAGTTTATAAATGTCTCTGGGCATATTATTGCCTTAATAGAAAATTTCCTAAACTAAATATGTTCCTGACAGTATTGCATAGACTTTCCTAAATGGATGAACTGTCCTGTTGGACATGCGTTGGACTTTGGGACCCCATGGATTCTTGAAGAACAATTCTATGTGCCATTTTCTTTTTCTCCTTGCTTATTTAACATACATGAACAGCTAATGTACAAAATGGATATCAATTTTCGTATAAATGTTATTAAGTGACAAAATAGCCTTAGACATTTTTCTCTTGGTTTATAATGTGAAAATTCAACAAAATATGGATTGTTTTAATAGTCTAAACTTTTCTACAGACATGCTTGTGAGTCTTTGTTTCTTTGTCTTGCCAAGATGGATTCCCAGAAATGTGTTAAATTCTGATTCTCATGTCTGTGTTCATGCAACACTGGTTCTTGAGGAATTCTTTCATTGTTTTTTGATGAATAATGACTGAATTTATTAATATACTAAATGAACAAAAGATACACAGAAAAAATTCCCAAGATGAGGCACGAGATGCAGCCTCATATTAAAGCAAAAATTACAGTTTAGCCCAAAACATCTAATTCCTATGCACCCCTTGTTTGGCTAATGAATCTGCTAACCCATTTACTGATCTTCTTTCCCATTGGACTTGGACCGACATGTTTAATGTTAGCCATTTGAATCTTCGTAAAGCTCCATTATAGGACCAAGCTGCTGTTTCTGGTTCTTTTAACCACTGGATCACCAACTTGGAATCACCTTCAATTAACAACTGTTCGCAGTTCAGTTCCTTGGCAAATTCAGCTCCTTGTAGCATCGCTTGAATTTCTGCATTGATTGAGTTCCCTACTCTTATAGGGCCAGAGTATAAAGCAACGATTAGCCCCTTAGTATTTCTAAATACTCTCCCAACACCCGAAGGACCCAGATTGCCTAAACTGCTGCCATCAAAGTTGAGCTTAATGATACCCTCTTGAGGAGGTTTCCATTATGCTGATGGTTTAGGTCTTGTACTAGAGATTTTGGCAACCACTTCCCAGTTTCTCCATAAATTATCAAAGGAGAATGGAGAAAATAGTTCCAAGGTCTTTACCCAATTAATGTCTCTATTAATTAAGCAATCCCATACAATGATCTCGTTCCTCTCCTTCTCATCAAAGATCTTGGCATTTCTTTCTTCCCAAACAGTCCAAACCAGTGCAGCCCTAGCACACCTTCACAAGACTTTACCTCTTTCTTAGGCCACCTGAAGGTTGTAGGCTCAAATAGATTGCTAACCTGCGTTGGCATCATCCACCTGCATCTAAGGAGATTAAGAAGCTTTTCCTAGAGACCTACAACAAAGGGACAAGATATTAGTAAATGGTAACAACTTTCTCCACTTGCTTTGCAGAGGACACACCAGTTGGGGGAAATACTCAGACGAGGTCTTCTTCTTTGTAGGTTGTCCAATTTGTTTAGATTTCAAGAGAGGCCTCTCAACAAAGGTCTCCCATTTTAGGGGGAACAGGTTTAGACCAGACCTCTTTACAAGGGAAAGGTTGAGAGCTAGGGACAGAGCATAAGGAAGAGAAAAAGGAGGCACAAGAGAAAGTGCCCGAAGGGTTATGGGACCAAGTGTGAGCATCTGGTTTAGAAGGGTCCAGATAGATAGAACCAAGCAAGCAAAGTAACTTTTTGTCTGGTCAAGCTCAGAATCTCTCAAATCTCTCTTGAAACCCAAATCCCAACTGAACCCAGAAGATGAGGAAAATGAGACAAATCTTTGAACAAGTTTGTTTTTAAAGTGAGTGAGGGAATACAAAGGCAGAAAAATATCCTTGAGGGTTGAATTTCCAATCCATAAGTCCTCCCAAAAAAGAGGTTGAATTTCCAATCCATAAGTCCTCCCAAAAAAGAACCTATTCCCAGTACATACATCATACCTGATTAGGTTTAAGAATTGTGGAAGAACGCCACAAATTGCCTTCCAAGGAGAGTTCAACGTGGCCCTCTAAGAAATGCCAGCATTCCAACCATTGCCTTCTACTCCATGAATACTTTCTACAACTTTGTGCCAAAGTTTTTCCTCCTCCAAAGGCCACCTCCAAAGCCACTTACCCAAAATGGCCGAGTTTTTCTTCCCTAGGTTACTCAATCCCAGACCCCCTTGCTCCTTTTTCTTGCATACTAATTCCCATCTTACCAAATGATCCTTCCTTCCCTCTCCAGGCTCCCACAAAAAGTCCCTCATCAGTTTCTCTACTTCCATTACCTCCTTTTGTGGCATCCTAAATACTGAAAGGATGTAAATTGGGAGATTTACTAAGGTGGATTGAATTAAAGTAATTCAACTCCCCAGGGTCACATAATTTCTTTTCTAGGCTACCAATTTCTTAGCACATCTTTCCACCACGGGATTCCAAAAACTTCCCTCCCTAGGATTGGCTCCTAATGGTAACCCCAAGTATCTCAAAGGCAAACTAGATGTCAGACAACCTAACTCCTCAGCTACCCCACCCAATTCCTCCTCTAAATTCAGCCCCACTATGCAACTCTTTTGGAAGTTGATCTTTAGCTTTGACACAACCTCAAACAACTTTGTCACCCCTTTCAAATTCCTTACTATCAAAGGGTCCCTAGTCTCACAAAAGTGGATAGTGTTGTTTGCGAACTATAGGTGTGTAACAATAACACCTTCTCTTCCAACTCTCCATCCTCTAATTAGATTCAGCCTGTCCTTCTCAAAATAAGTCTACTAAAAACATCTTCTAACAAGGTAAAGAGGAAGGGAGAGAGGGGATCCCCTTGTCTCAGTCCTCTAGTAGCTTGAAAGAAATCTCTAACTACTCCGTTAACCAACACAAAATAATGATCAGTAGTCAAACAACCTTCAATCCAACCACACCACCTATCTCCAAACCAAAATTCCTCAAAACTTCCATCAAGACTGACCAATCCTCCAGATCCCTTTGCAGACAAATCCTTTCTTCCCCATTCTCTTGCAGTCTTCCACACGTTCATTAGCTATCAGGACTTGATCAGTGATTTCTCTACCTTGAATGAAAGCCCCCTGCGGTTGACTTGTTAAGGAGGGCAAAACTATTTTTATCCTCACATAAATTACTTTGGCCATTATCTTGTAGATACTAGTCACCAAACTGATGGGTCTCAAATCTCTACTTCCGTCTTTTTCTTCTTCTTTTTCTTCTTTTCCTCTTCACTCTTCCTAACATACACCTTTGGTTTTTTCTTCTTTGTCATCTCCTCTTCCACAACTCCTTTGTTATGGACGCATTCCTCGGGAAGAAGTATCATTGCCGCCGGCAGCAGCGGGAACCTGACCCACCGCCAGCAGCAACAGTGATTCAATGATTCTCATCCTACCCAGTTCGGCAACAACAGTCTCATCCAGATTAGATTAGATCATCTTGCTTGTTCTTATCTTATTCTATTGCTCTTATCTTATCTTATTAGTTGATTATCATATTAGGATTAACTTATCTTATCCTTAGCAAGATAGAACTGGAAGTCTCCCTATTCAGCAAGGAGACTCCCTA